CACGTCGGGGCCACTTGCCCCGGGGCCGCGGTCCCGCCGCGGTCGCCTCGTTTCGCCCGCGGAGAGTGTGCGCTGACCTGTGCACGACCGTGCTCCCGGGCGGCCGGCGGTGGGCGTGCGCGGAGGACCCCGGGAGGGGCCGCGCGGCCTGGGTTAGGCGGCGATCGGAGACTTTGGAGTGGGCCCTGAGCTTTAGCAAATGGATCACCGCCAGAGGTGATGCCATCCTCAGAAATAGGGTTGGATGCAACGCAGACGCTCGCTGCCCTCACGCGGGCGTGGGGGCTCTGGGGACCCAGAGTCCGGGGCGTTGGGGTGCGCTGATGAAAATGCTGTCTTCGACAGATACGTGAAACTCGGATTTCTGAGACTAAACAAAGTCTCCGGAAACGCAGAACATCAACAGGGCAGGAAAGAACACTGATCTAACCTAACCTCAGTAATCACAAAGTGGTTTTGATCTTCCAGAAACTCTGGCGGGAGCTGCTACGGTAAAGGAGGAAAAAGTTTTTAAGATTGTTTCAGAGTTATAGCAATACTGTTGAAATTCCAGTGCATCCTGTGCCCTAAGAGAGGACTTGAGGCTTCACAGTTTTAAGTTGCACATGTTTACAGAATTTCCCACAGAGTCAAGGCCAGAGTTAATTCCAAAATAGCATCATTTAAAATTAAGTATATTTCTCATCATTCAAATGTGCTGCTTTTTAAGACTTACTTCAGTGGAGCCTGAATATGTAAAATACACGTTTTGAATAAATGTTGGGAAGAAAACCCGTCAAGACAGAAAACTTTAAATATGGTTATATTTAAAGGCCAGTTGTGAAATTAGCTATATTGCCCTCAAAGTACCTTACAGAAACTTCTGCTTCAATTTATTTTATCATGATAGTCTGTATTGACATTCATTTTATTTATTCAACAACATTCATTCAACAAATCCTTATCAAATGCATATATGTGCCAGGAACTGTACTAGATGCTGAGGATAAAGCAGTGAACAAAACAGACTAAATCTTTTCCTGGTAGAGCTAACATCCTAGTTAATCAAGGGGAAGAGAAAGAAAACAAAAGAAAAACAAACAAGTAACATACAGCATAGCAGCCAGTGATAACTGCCATGCACACCTCAGCTGGGAAAGGAGTTGGACAGGGATATAGTGTTTTACCCAGGTTGGTCAAGATGGTTAAATGATTTGGTTAAACAACCATTCCTACTTACCGAATTTCAAATTTTCTTTTGAAATAGTTGTTTGACAAAATCAGTTAACTTTATCCTCATTAACTCATATCTAAGTATTTTAATACTTTGGGTAAGTCATGGTTCACAAATAATTCCTGAGGACTGTCTAAGCCTGTGGCCTATCATCAGGCCTCCAAGCTTGTAAATCTATATTTGAAATACAGACCAACATTTGAGAGATGTGGGGTCTGTTGTTTTAATTTCCACTTGAGGATACTGCCTATTTTAGTGTGAGCCAAATGAATTTTCATTTGACTAGTCACGGAAGGTGTCATGTGTAGAAACCCCACTTAACTCGTACTAAATATTCAATTTAAGTGCAGGGAAGTTTTTCTTCGCTTAAGGTAATTTGGTGGTAGGCATCCACCTGTTTTTGTTACTGGTGTTCTTCTATTCCGTGCCACCTCATTTCAGCAATTCACTATTCCAGATTCCAAGATCTGAATTGATTTCCTTCTTACCTGCACCCACCTCAGACCTGCATGTGGCCTGTGTTCTCCTGCTCAGTCAGGGTTCTGAACAACGACTCCCTCAGCCCCCTGACTAGTGGGTCCCAAATCCTGTCAAATTCTACCTCCCTGGTAGAATCCACACACCGGTCTCTGTTCACGAGTTCAGACCACCATCCTGTCTCAGGGAGATCAGTGCAAGCCTCCAGGCCTCCCCGCCCCCCTCCTGGGCTCACCTCCCAACCCAATCTGTCCTCACCCGGCAGTCACACTAATCTTTCCAAATCTCAATCCAAACATGTCACCCTCTTACCTAATTCATTTTATTGACGTCTCCTTGCTGTCAGAATAAAGTCCATAAAGAACATTCCTGGGTTCTTCAAAGGCTCCATGGTTGGTCCCGTGACTAAGATTGTGTCCAAGCAGTTCCACACCACCCTTTCCACCTGCCCGGGGCTCTTCTGGGGCAGGAGCAAGAGCCCTGCACTCTGGCAGGCTAAGAATAGGCATCCATTCAAATGATAATTAAAAAACATTTGTTCAAGAGGGAGATATATAAATATATATATATATGTATGTATATAGTCATTAATTCATTTCCATTGTGTGAACAAAGCTCAACAAAGTATTTCCCAGCTTTCCGAAATTCTGGTTCTCCTCTTAATTTTCCTTTATAATTTTCTGGGTCAGAACCCTTCTTGGAAGGCACATTAGAGGTGTTAAATTGTATATAATCAGATAAATCCCCCTCCTGTGCACAGCCCTATATCATATATTCTTCGATATTGGTATTCCAACCAAGTGTGACAACAGACTTTAATGGAGCTGCCATACACACGCGGACAACCCGAGGCACAAAGGTGCTCCAGGGATATAAATCAGGGACTGACTTCCTGTTGTTACCTTAATTTCCACTTAAGGGTACTCTCTATTTTAGCAGGAACCAAACAGATTTACACATAAGCAATGGTGTAAGGCATCTTGTACAGAAACCTCACATAATTGGTGCTAAATAGTCAATATAAGCGCAGGGACGGCTTGCCCCAACCCAGGCCCCCACAGCACCCTACCTCTCCAGCCCTCAGATTCCTTTTCTGCCTTCTCCACTAGAGTGTGTGCTCCTTCACGATAGGATCGCACTTCTGGCATCCACCATGGTGACTCCTAACCATGAATTTCAGGCCCAAGTTTGACACATGCTATTATGAAGTTGCAAACTAATATGTCTATGTTACATATATTTATATATAAAATTTTTATATATAATATAAAAACATAGTAAATAAGTATTTAATATATAATTTATATTTA